TATGATTGGGCAATGAACTGTATAAATGTGTTGTTCGTAGTAAAATCAATGCCTCGTAAAATTATATACCATTGTAATGCAGCTTCAAGGCCGATGATATCAGCGACGAAAATTCTACTGGACAATCTCAATAAAAATAACGATAAGAAAAAAATTGAACTCGTAATAGCTGAGTCACTAATCATTTTCTTGGCATGGTTTTGGATTAGGTTCAAGAATGTATTTGTGTGGCTGTTTTGCCTACGAAACTAAGATTCTTCGCAGCTGACGTAGCTACATTAGTAAAGTATGTGTGATACGAAAGATTATCGAGGATGGTAAATACAAGCATCGTAGACGAATATTGAAGGAATTCTATATACGATTACCTGACATGTTTATATTTGGTCTACTTCTGTTACATATTTTGGAAAATATAAACGAATTGATTTTAGATCGATTACAGTCAACCAGATTATTGAACCACTTCTACAATAAGTTTAAACATGTCTTCACCAAGCAACATTCTTACGACGAACCGACGTTGCATACTATAATAAATCTCCTTTTGTTATTATGTTCTTAGGGGTGAGCAGCCTCGACCGCACTGTTAAACACCCCTCTTTTCCTTAGGTATAACAACATGAACGTAAAAAATTTTACAAATAAGTAAAAACTTTTCTTCTGATTAATTTATTTGAAAAAAAAAACACAAATTTTGTGTATCTAAAATATTTGTAAACACGTAATCAATATGGAACCAGAAGTCAGGAACCAATATCTGGCTGGCTATTTGTTGTGATAGTTCCAAATAAATACACGAATTTCAATTTATTTATATGTGCAATTATTTTTCCTAACACCGATGTTAAAGTTAAAGAATTTTACCTGTACCAACTTTTAGTAGGCCCTTTGTCAGTTACTAACATCTAGAAAACATTGAATAATGTCTAAAATACACCCAAACCTACTAAGTCGCTTATTATCGTTTAACCAATTTTTATTACCGACTAGACCTATTCAGTTGGGCACCAACATCCAACTGACGTATCCAAATGACTATAGTTAATAGTATCTATTACGTCGATAAACAACGTCTAACCAACGTTGAAAAGTTATCCAAAACTTATCTAAACCTACTTAGTCAGTTATCAACGTCTAATCAACGTTGGATAATGATCTAAAAACACACCCAACGTATTAAGTAGATTTCTGATATCAAACCAATGTTAGTAAATAAGCTAGATGTAAATAGTAGGCTTGCAAAAATCAAGCAATATTACTCTGACGTTGTATCATAACAATAAAATTTAAGGCGCTACTATTTATAAAAATTCTGGCGATGAAATTAGTAAAAAAGTAGTCGGTAGTCGGTGAAACGTTACTTGGCGATTATACAAATTGGTCTTGTACACATTATCAGGTACAGATTTCACTTGCAGTAACATCCATGGTTTTTTAATTAAATAATTTGCAAGGTTTCTAAAAAAGGATAATTTGATTGCTTTATTCTTTATAGGCATATTTTTAAAATTATACTTAGAGTTTCTGTTATATTAAATGTATGTGAATTAAATTTTTGTTTTTATAACTTCTTGTATGTTCTGAAATACTTTTTTTCAAAGATCGTCCTGTCTGTCTAATGTACATTTTAGGCTATTTACTATTTGACCGATTTCAGAAACATTTCTATTAGCATTTAATGTAAGCTAAAGTAAGTTTCCGTTTCGACAAAGTTTAAAAAATAATATATACATGTTTTTTCGGGTATACTGCATATCACAGAACAACTTTTATTGGCTACATTTTTAGTCTCGTGGCCAGCAAAAATGACGCAGAATGGTTTTTTCAAATTAGTAATATTTTACTCATATGGCGGTAATTTTTAGAAAGCGCTGTGTGTTTTATTAACATTTTTTAAATGTAAGCCTTAAATTAAATTTGACATTATGTAAAATCTGATACGAAAGCTCATTTCAATCGTCTTGTTCATGTGGTGACATATTCGCAACATATGTTTTTGACATAAACATTGATGTTGATAATCAATCATCTGCAATTACGGTTGGATGAGAAATTAGCTCAACCTCTCTGTAGTCTCTGTACACTATAGAGATTGCCGGCAAATGTATGTATAGTAACCAGCATGACAATGTAGTACTTGAATGCAACAGTCAATTTCATGTGTTACTGCGTAGATGTAATTGACTTAAATTGTCAGTTTGTATGGAATTTAATGATATCACGTCTGTTTAATATAATTTACGCTTCCTCAATAAGGATGATTTTGTGAATAATGGCATTGGTTATTATCCATTCATAACGACACCAATAATAATTAATTACGATATTAAACGTTATTAATATATCGTTTCAACCAATGAGCAAATAATGTACTGGATATTGACATGATTTTGTTAAAACAGATGGTTGATATAAAAATAAGAACTACATGTTTACTTTATAATTAAACATAAAGTAAGTTTATTGGTTGATTAATACAGGTAGTTTCCGTTTCATGAATTCCCGTTCTATGAACTTTACATATATGCCATGTTCTCATTTTGTAAAATATTTTTGTCATAAAAAAAAGATTTGTAACATATATAATTTTTGATGCTGTAAATATGTAAATTGGAAGTGGAAATGACTAATATAAATGAAAAAGTTCAAACCAAATTAATGCAAAATATACAGGAGGTCAACAAGAAGCAAAGAAGAAGTCAAGAATTACATAAAGAATGAAATAGACGAAATAATAAATATGGTCAAGGAAGAAGCCAGAAAAAGAGTTGAAATCGAAATAAAATATAATGATCTAAAAATAAAATACGAAATACTAGAAAAGTCTCTTAGAAAAAAATAATATAATAATACTTGGATTTGATATAACAAATGGAGATTTATAATAATCTAAAAGAAACTGATATAAACATAAGTTATGAGCTTACATTGAAAGAAAGAGAAAGAAATAAAATTGTAAGGCGACATTTAAAACAGGGATGAATCAACAACGAGAAAGTAATATTGAGTCAAACAAGTTATACGTAAATAATGAAACATACAGAGTCGACCAACTAACTGACATCGAGACACAAGTGAAACAAATAGAGGACAATAAGGAACAGATATAGAATACAGCAAAATAGAAAAACAGAGTAATAGTAGCACACCTACAAATGAAGAAAAGAAACTAAATAAAACAGAGCATGAAGAAGATGTAGTTGATGAGACAGGAATAATTGAAAAAAAAAAGACAAGAGGAACAGCAGAGTTGAAAACCAAGAACAATACATCGCTCTATAAATAAAATCCCAATAACAGCCTTATTACATGAAAATGAGCCAGCTTAGCATTATATAACTTTAGATAGGTAGGTAGAGCTCTATTTTCAGATATAATTTCGGTATTCTATTTACATGCTAGAACAATTTATTATAGATAAATAAACTAACCAATTAAAATGGATCCGTATATCCGTGATTACAATTATTCGCCAAAAATCATAGATACAGTAACGGTCTTTAATAATTTCATAATTCAAAAATAAAACTCTTGACTTTAAATTGTTCCACCAAATGCTCCAAGCTGGCTTACGTCGAGTCGATGCTGCTGCAGAATTAGGAGTAAGCCAAAGTATCATTAATAGTTTTTGGAATCGGTTTTAGAGAATTGATTATATACAGAACGGCCCGAAAGTGGTTGACTCGGCGACAAGATCGTTATCTTCAACTTAAAATAACAAGGAATCCTGCCCTTTATGCTTCTCAAGTAAGAAGCACTTTACATGCATGGGGTTAACGGTAAATGTCCAATCAGTACGTAATAAGTTCAGGCAGTTTGGACTGTCAAGTCAACCTTCATATCGAACTCCTGGTTAATCCAGCTGACCATGCAGTATGTTTAAGATGGGCATGGGATCATCAAAACTGGGACATGAAATGGAGTTCAGTTTTTTTTATTGATGAGTCTCAATTCAGCTTGCACAGCGACATCAGACGTCTACGAGTTTGGATGATGGCAGGTGAGAGATACAGCCAAACATTTATCCAACCAAGAGTAGCTTTTAGAGCAAGCAGTGTTATGGTATTGGGAGGAATGAATATGTGTTAGAGGATGCAACAATCTGCACATCTGCAGGAGTACCATGACTGGACAAATGTATGTCAATGATATTATCAGTAACATTTTGAGGACTTTTCAAGCTGCTATTGGCGAAAACTTTATTTTTATTGATGATTATGCTCGCACCCACCATACTCTGCAATTAATCAACGTCCTTTAAATTCACGGAATTAATCACGAACCTGTTCCACAACGTTTTATTCACTTTAATCTCATTGAACATAAGTGTAACTTATTGGGTAGGGCTCTTCAAAACATTTAACCAACTCAAGAGAATATTAGGCAACTGTCAGATATTCTTCCTATTTTTTCGGCAGAAGTCCCACAAGATGTGATCGACCACATCATCAGAAACATGCCCAGATGTATACTTAAAATAATTCGAGTGAAGGGCCAGAATACAATTCACCGATGATAGATTTAAGGCATTGTTGGGTCCCCACGGCTAACACTTCTTAAACTAAAATTGTTTTACCTCGTTATTTCATAAGCGAATTATGCAAAAAAAGTTAGGTAATAAATAAGTTGTTAGTCCCCTCCGTAACGAGTTTTTTTTAGTCCAATCCTGTCATCAATTCAATTCAATTCAAAATAATTTATTAACAATTAAAAGCAAAAACATAATTTATACTGCCCTCGCCGGACACCTGATTCATAGCCGACCTAGCATCCCCGTATATGGTGGCAACGAGGCAATTATTAGTTCAGGCAAAGTGGGGCCGGTCCAAGCTAACATTAACTAAAATACAACACTTTAAAATATAAACATTTTAAATTGTATAATTTAATTTTAACAGAGAAATCAACGACGCATGCAAAAGCATACGCCGTTGACGTAAAAATGTTTTATACAATACAGAAAAAATAAAACTGTGTATTGTAAATTGTTTTGTAGGGGCATGGTAGCCGAGTGGGTAAAGCGCTTACAGTTATTTACTCGGCACCGAAGATCGATGGTTCGATTCCATCCTAGAGCAAGTTAGGAACAAGTTAGAAATTTTATTTGTAATTTCTTTTAGACTAAGATGGGAGAGGAAATTGTCAATGCCCTAAATGTGGTTTGGACTCCAAAATACACTGTAGGCCTCGTTTCTCTGCCCAACAAAAAATCATAGGACTTTCTAAGAGTTACTTCGGTGATTTGAGAGGCACTTATGAAAACATGTTAAGAAAAACATATAAATTTAGAATTTCTCGAGGATGCTTCGAATAATAGTGAGTTGAAAGCGGAAATGACAGCTCCGCTTACGTTTGAAGTGTATTTGATGTTTTTGTATATGCATAATAATAATGTGCCGCAATTTACTGTTGGTTTTCTTGTAATTTGGAATAAATTTCGTGGGGATTTTGAAAACAAAAAAGCGAACAAAAAGAAACGAAGGGAAAGGTGAAATTTTCAAAATTTTGTTGCCCTTTTTTATATCATGGGCGTGATCTCACTTTTTGTGGGAGAGCGTGGTCTAAAGAGAATGTCTGAAAATTGGAAGCGTTTAGTACGGCAATTTATGTTTGACTCGAAAAGGCGCGTTATACTCCCTTATTTGTGTAATGTTGACTATCAGAGAGTTTAAATTCGTAGAATATTTGCGAAGTATCCTTGATATAGTCCACTATGGATACAATATCAGTGCAAAGTTGTGTCTTATTTCCCTTATGGGAGTATATCTCGTTGAATTACTTATGAGGAGAAGGAATTTGTTTTCCAGTACTTGCAATTTGTGTAACGTTGTCGCGTTCGCTGAACACCAGACCGGAGCAGCATATACTAGGGCCGGTCTTACTATCATATTTTAAATTAAGTTTTTACTATCCCTGTTTAGTTTGCTATTCCCCGCCATCAGAGGATAAGAATCCTGGACAGGGAACAGACTTTGTGTCTTGTCTCGTTAACATGTTTTCTAAAATAAAGTCTTTTTTTCCAAAATTACGCCTAAGTATTTTACGTCTTGTTCGTCCCAATTTAGCTGCCCCCTATTGAAATAGGTGTAATTATTTTATTACTGATTCTTTTTCTAGTGAAAACAATAGTCACTGTCTTGATGACGTTCACCCTCACCTTCCACTTGACGTAGTACTCAGACGCATTTACCATGTGCGATTTTATCAGCTACTCAGAGGTCTGAGCATCGTGACTGTGGCAGTACATGGCGGTATCGTCGGCGTACTATGCAAGCTTGGTGTTCGGGAACTGCGGAAAGTCGGACACGTTTGTGTTATACAATTTTGGTGCAACAACCGACCCCTGCGGAACGCTTGCTCTAATATATCTCTGTGTTGATAATGTTTTGTTCACTCCCACTCACAAAGTTTGACCATGCAAGTATGACTGCGTCAGTTGGGTTAAGTGGCATGGAAAGTCGTACCGGTGTAGTTTATAAATGATGTTAGGCAACCAAACGGTATCGAACGCTTTCTCAATATCCAAGAGCACCATATAGCTCGACATCATTGACGATCCTGACGATCTTCTGAGTCGTGCTACGTCCCTTCTTGAAACCGAACTGAACATCGTCATTGATTTCAATTGATCATTCAGGACGACCCTTTCAACTAGCACGGAAAATCTGAGGGCCGGAATTTCTGATGGTCCTCAGATAAGGCAGCTTTTAAATTATCCACATTTCACAGAATCTATGAACGAGGTCTAATGCCTGGTGTTTGTTCAAGTAGTTAAAAATTTTCTTGGAAAGCATAAGGCAGAGGATTACGTTAAATTAGTGGAAGAGATGCTTCCAACTTGAATAAGCTCGGTTGCATTAAGGTTCACTACCTGCACAGCAGCATAGATCGTTTTCCAGAAACCCTAGATGATTTTAGTGAAAAAGAGGGGGAAAGATTCAACCAGGATATAAAAACTATGGAAGAACCGTATCAAGGAAGATGAGATATCCACATGATGGTCGACTACTCTGCAGTCTTCAGCGAAACTGTTCTGGTAAACCTCATACAAGGAAGTCTTATAAAATAAAGTTTTTAAGTGATGATATCAGAATCTAGATCTAATGAAGCAAATCTGATGGTATTTTTGGATTCTGCCTCCCAAAATTACCCAGAAACGCTTAACAAATCACAGGCGTGTGTCGAATAGAATAGACGTATAACTGTGGATCATTTTTTAATCGTATGATAATATCACAAACTTCCTGACAGCTATCTGGTTGAAAATTGTAACTGAGGGATAAACTATCTGACACTGATCTCTTATTTCATCAAATCTTAAACAGCTTATAACAATACGTCGATTCTATTGAGTATTTTACATATATCAAATATTATTGATATGTGACTAATTTCAGGGACATGATTCTGTAAATTTGTGACAAGTAATTTGTTCATATAACCTCAAAATAAATTCATTTTATCCTGCTGCTAAAATATCTAGAGATGAAAATACGTTTCTTTGAAATTTCAAAAGGTTACATATTAATCAGTACTTTAAGCATTAGGAAGTGAAAATACCCGCTCTAACATTGAAACAAATAATATTTGGTTATAATGATTCAGTAATAAAAAAATAAAGTGTTTTTATGCAGGGTGGGGAAAAAAACTGCATAATGATGAATGGAATGGGATGCTGTGTTATTTGATTTTGCATCCATTGTGTACGTTTTGTTACTCTGTATATATGTTTAATACTTAACCTATTAACTTGAAATAGGTAATAAATTTAGAACTTTTACTAGGGTGTGGAAATGGTTCACAAGAATTTACAAGAATTTGCAAGTTAATATATTTCAAGGGATAGCCTGTTAATATAGGATATGCTAAAATTTCATTAAACCTTTTAATGAATATAAAGTTCTACAAACACAAGTTCGTTATAAATGATCCTATTAAGGCAACTCTGTAGGTCTGCTTTTTATATACCGGAAGTTACAATTAAACTAATGTTAGAGGTAGACCACAAATTTGGATTGCTAATGTGGCATGATTTAGATAATTTTTCATTTCTGTTACAGTATATAGGAAAATTGAGTTTATTAATATTTTGTATGAGCTCGGGTGTGTGAAGGACAGTAACGCATGCTTTCACCTAGACCACCTAGATTCAAAACTAGGCTGTATAAATTCAATGAGGTATAGTGGATAAGTAGACCTGCTAGCGTCACATTTTTGAAAGAATTATAAAACAGTGGGTACCGGTTATCTGCGATACGAGCACGTTAAATATTCCTATAACAACAAAATGGGGGATCAGCTAAATTTACAGATTAAGAGTTCCAGTGTCTGAATAAAATTTGATGAGCTTATTTATATCCATCGATGATTAGCCTTGCAACCGGAAATAGATCGACGCTACGCCGATGTTAATTTATCAATAGTCGTCCCAGTGTTAATTCCAACACTAATTTTGTAAATCACATTTCACTCACAGAAATAAGTAGGTATATTTTATTACACACTTATTCCAAAAAAATGTGTAATGTGATAAAAAATCTTAAAAACAATAAGATGGTATGTTTAGATTAACTACCCGTAAAATTTTAAAACATCTGACTGCGGAAATATTTGGTCCGTTTAGTCACGTAATATATTTCTGTTTAAACAATGAAATATTTTCAGAAAACTTAAATATTGGTTCTGTAAAAACTATATATAAAAAGAGAAATAAGAATAGGTATACTGAAAAATTATAAGTCCAGTGACATACACTCAAAAGTAAATTAAGTAAGTAAGCAAGTAAAATATCTGATGTGGCCAGCACATAACTTTCTTGCACCAGTATATTATATCATCCTGATATAAAAAATCATTTTATTTAATTCTTCACTTACCTCAGTTAAATTTTAATAGCGTACCTTGAAATGTTTCATTAAAGTTTTTAAATAATTAATTATCAGCGTCACTCGGTGTTGCGACTATCAATAATAATTCATGTCATATATTTTAATAATTTCTTCCTATTGATATTGACATTTTTGTAACTAAGAATTAGACATTTCAAATGTCAAACTGGTCAATTTATCCTAAAGCCATTTTATGAGGTCTAATGTGTAAAAAATTTCAGTTTACATCAGCTTTATTTAAGTACTTGAAAAATATATTTTATTGGCTTGATATGGTAGACATAATTTATAATTTTTATCAAGAATACATGTTTTTGTAAAGGCAAATACAAAAAGTTTGGGTCCCGTGGACCCCCTTTCAGCTAGTCAATTTTACTCAACATGGAATTATCATTGTCTTTGGCCTTTAGAACATGTGTAAAGCTTTATCTCAAAAACTGTGGCTGCTATCGCGTAACCACAGACATGCTGACGAAATTGTACCTTTTATCTTCTTTCATTCATTGTCTCTTCTGGTAGTACAACATTAACCAAATTTAATGTGTCACCTAAAATGTTGTTCACAATCTTTAACTGCCAAATTTGGGAAATTTCTCATTAGTTTTTTGAGTTATCGCGGATACACACACGCACACGCACACCGCCGCGCCCTCGCGCGCACGGGCGTACGCACGCACGCACGCACTCTCTCATACATACGCACACACGCACACACGCACACACTCGCACAATCGCACACATGCGTACACACACACACGCGACATCATTCAGAAAATAGAATGGATTCAGGAGGGTTCAATCAAAATCTCGAGGTCGAAAAAAATCACGATTATTATACTTCCTTATATTAGGTATAAGAAAGTAAAAAGTAATATATACTAAGATAAAGAAATAAATAGATTACTATGAGCTACTAAGCAATATCAGTATAGTTTTAGAAAACATAAATCTACTCTCAGATCAGGTTAGAAAGCAACATGCCAGATAATTAAGTCATTATCATTAAATAATTAAGAAAATACAATTGTTATTACCCTAGACCTATCAAAGCCTTTGGTAGTGTGGATCATAGTATTTTAATACATTATAAACTCGAAAACTATGGGATCAAGAATATTGCATTGCAATTACTGAAATCTTATTAAAAAAAAAAAAACAGAATGCAATATATTGTAGAAAAAAATGCTTTCTTAAA